TAGAACGTATCAGGCGCACCGGAACATGGACGGAATCTGTACCAGTAAGTAAAATAGCCCAACTTTTCCTCTCAGTGGTGTCCTTCAATCCTTCAGATGTTGTTCTTGCTTTCAGCGGTAGTGTAACTGGCACTAAGCAAGGAAAGTACAACTTTCTGAGCGATGCAGTAGACGAGTGGCTTTTCCTATCGGATGTCCTTCCTATGGGACCTAATGCCACCTTTAATGACACAAGAATGTACTCTTTCGCCAACGTGAGTCACATGTTTGCTATCCCTTGCAGGTTTCCGTGTCTGTTGATAAATTTTTTAGATGGCCTACCAGGAGATTTACGAAGTCGGTTGCCATTACGAACAGTGTGAAAGCGGTAGTTCAGCCGAAGCTTCAGTTCTCTGCATCTACAACACCGAGTGAGTGACATGGGCACCTTTCTCAAAGAATGTTGTCGACCAGTCCCATATCAAATTTCACTCAACTTCAGAGTTCCCCTGAACGTGCAACTGTACGAAATAGGAAGCTGGAACCAAACTATTGCGGGTTGTGCATGGAATGATACAGTGTGTGAATTTATTAAGCTGCAGCCTCCGGAAAAATCGAATGTGAAGATCTTCTCTGCAAATTACCTTACAAGGTTCAGAACGGATTCCTATGAGTTTTCAAAAATCTTGTCTACGACTGCTAATAAATCTTCGCATGCCATTTCTTAGATCGCATTGAGGGAAACAGTGGATTTAGTGAAAAAACACGTTGTGAAGTTGAATATATCCAAATTGTGAAACTGACTGATGCCATACGCACAACGGTGTACTCTTATGAAACCACCCAGGTAGAACAAAATGGTGAAAAATTTTGCAAATAGACCTCCAAGATCTGCAAGCCGCACTGAACGGATCTGCATGATTAGTTGTCGTCCTCTACGCGGCTAAGTCACGAATCTTACAATGTCTTACCTATACACTACGTGAGGAAAGTGATTCTAGCAATATGTAAAGAAACTGTTGAGAATATCAGCGTGACCCTGCAGTTGGGTGTAGCACACTTCCAGACGAATCACTCCACTTATCGCGATAGTATTTATGAAGCAGTAGCCCAACAGGCTTGATTCTCTCTTCGATGAGCCGAATGGGACCAACACATGACAGTAGAGTAAGTCGCCGCGTACGCAGAAGAACATCCTGGCACTGAGAGGGTTGGCAAAACGGAACGAAGCAATGGTGCATCAAAAAAACTCGAAGAATAGAGTTTATCTGCGAGTGCAAATCACCTCCCAGAAACTGCATGCACTCCGGTTCCATTTTGAGTCTGTTGAATGCGAGTGGCCGCGCAAGTTAAAGACAGCTACTGCGATAAATGTGTCATGGTATTTCCCCCAATAAAGAGAAGAAAGCAAGACCACCATAAGCAAAATCGCTCCCTGACAGCCACACCGCCCTGCGATCTTTGTGCACCCCCCTGGCTCATAAATCGCTTCATCGCATCTCCCAGTAGTGGATATCATTCAATGCAAGGGAAAGACGGTGCCAACGTAGTGGAGAGGGGGGGGGGGGGGGAACCACGCGGCGCGCGGCGAGTGATGACTCATCTGCTCTTCCGCTTCCTCGGCGAGACAGTGTTCAAAACAGACCACAGATGGTTCCCGGCATACTTGAAGCGCGAATCTAGCAGCCAAATTAGAATAAAACAAACAAGATTCACCGGGAACTTGTTGAGAAATCCCACAGAAGCGGAAAACAAATGGACTTCGAGTAACAAGGTGAAGTGAATTGGCGAGGTGAAATGCCTTGTGATTCTACGAGGAGACCTCAAGGTTCGATTTCTGCGATCTGAAGGTGAGCTATTAGAGTGGATTTCTTTTCAGATTCTGCGGAGCATCCAATTTATTTAATAGTGTCACTTTCACGCAAACGAATGGGTTCACCTAGGCCGGAATTCATTCCCTTGTAGTTTAGGCAAGAATCTTCCAGGCCTACAATTGTTCTTCGCACTTTGTGAGCGCACGATTGAGTGCGGCATAGTCTAAATGGCGAATAATGTCTGTCATGTCCATTTACAATGAGAGCCATTTTCACTTTAAATTCACCTGTTTTCAAACCAAATTCACCCGTTTTCAAACCAAATTCAGCCCACCTTCCAAATCGCCACCTTCCAAATC